GGGGGGGGGTCGTACTGATCTGACCACGTCCTCGACACGATTTTCACCCTGCTGTCTAGCATATCCGACCTTAGTGGAAGATTTTAGCGTTTTCTATGATGAATCTGGCTTTCTTTTCCATTTTCAGTTCAACTACAGCTCAGCCGTCACTACGAAAAGCTCTCATCCACCAGTTTTGAGCCCATGGCGTGTCTTTAGGACGACACGCATCTGCTTGAAATGCTGAGCCGGTGTTCTGGTTGGGAGCAAAGTACTATAACTCATCAGAAGTTAGCCGATGAGTAGTTCTGTTAATGCTAGCTTTGGGCAACGATACGCTGTTCAATTAGGAACAGCATTTTACATTTGAATCTATCATGACCAGTTTTAATGCAGGACTTTGAGCCCCTACGGGTGGAATCCATCGTGGCGCGTAAGCAGCTATCAATCCTCGCATAGAATCTTTTCTTGAGGAGATTGCAGAGATCCCTCATTCATGAGCGGCTTTTGCAAGCTTTGGACTACAGCACTTCAGAGTCGCATCAATCAAGGGGATTTGTATTATTATGGCTATAATATCCTCAGCCACCTCGTGTTTCTCGGAATTTGCTTTGGACGACAGTAGGCGCCTTTTACATCCGGGCCGGGTGTAAACAGTTCTGGATGACTTCCCAGTTTTCATGCAAAACCGAAAAAGTTCTGCGAGCACCCGCCCTTAAGGTTGTTTACGCTCACCCGGTGGACTAGTGCTACAGTTTCCAATTGGTGTTTCACCTATGCCGTTTCCAGAAGTTTTTTTAACCATAAAAAAGTCAAAGATCGTCACTAGGAAACGTTCACTGTTGCGTGTTCGGACTCATCAGAATATGCTATGCGCGAACTCGGTTTATCATGGAACCTAACTTTGAATACGACATTGCACTGGTTTCTAATTTTACTAGAGGAATGATATAGATGTTTCTTCAAAACCTGAATTCACGCTGGAAAGGCAACCCATTTCAAATTAACTTAGGATGGTGAGTGGTACACTAAAGAAGGAAAAACCATGAGAAACGGCCCAGAACCCGAGAAATGGGACCCCTTCCTTGCCCGTTGATTTGAGCATTGATGCGACTCCATCGTGCCCTCTCCAAGAGTGAGCCATGCTAGATCGCCGAGGTCAAATCTTTCGCTGCCAATTGCGCGTCGGTCAGCACCCTCAGGAGGTCCGCCTGTCTCCCAACTATGCAATTTTCCCCTTGACCTTCGTTCTTATCGTGGAATCCTCCTCTAGTGGACCGGAGTCAGCAGGCGCTTGCACCGAAATTTTATGCCTGAACATTGACCTAGCACATTCCACGATGAAATAATGCGGCCATGAGGTGCCAAAAGTCAAAACAGAAGAAGGGGACTACAGTTGAGGATAATAGGAAGAGAAATCGCAGAAACCTTTGAAACTAAAGGCTTGTTCTTTATCGCAGTGAATAGTGTTACAACGAGGAGCCTGTGAGTGCCGAGAGAACACGTGAGAGAGCACTGGGGCCAGCGAGACGCAGATACCGCACCATGTATACCCCTGCGTTATCATTGCGGGGGTGCGTTGCAGTTCTCCCCCTCCAGGTGACCTAAAATGGAGACACTACCCATTTGTTTGGAGCAAGCTTAGGAGTAAGCCTAGCCTATCATAGGCTTTAACATAAGCCAATAAGTAAACATAAGCCTAAGCCTAACCTTAGGCTTCAATAATCGCGCCACTCTGTTGGCCTGACCCCAGGAGAATTGAACGTCTTCCAAGTACCCGAACCTGAACATCATAACTTGCCCAGCTCGATAATGGAATGTGCTTCGGGAGGAAATTTCTCACTGAGGGAAACACTCTTATAGCCAGGTCTATTTGCATCACTAGCACGAAAGCTACGTCCTATTGACTTCCTAGTTATCAGTAGCTTGATCTTTGAAAAAAAGGCTATTAAATTCTTCCGGGCAGCTTCTACGTAAATATACAACAGCCATCATAATCTCAAGGAGGCCTCGTATGCAGCTTAGCAAGGAAATCCCAAAGCAACGCGGTCTCTGTCATTTGCGGAATGAATTTCCTTCCGTGTCCTGGCATTATCTTACTTCTGCTTCTGCTTTCCAGCCTTATACTCCTAGTCGTCTACTTTATTTACCTCACTCTTATGTACCGCTACGATGGGAGTCAGAGTGAGCCCCTTTTCACTGTCGGGTCCAAAGCTTTCTATGACTGGGATCTTGCAGGTGCTTATTTCTCATTCGTTAGCCTTTTTGAGATTCGTTTTGGTTGCTAATTGGTTAATTTACAGCACTGATTCCCAACGCAAAGCCCCTACTTCTTTACAAGCCGATCGAAGAGCCACCAGGTGGGCAGTTCATCTTCTTTATTTAGTGTGTGTGTGTGCCCGCTTGCTGACAATAGCTTTTTGCGCGAATTTTTTGGAAAATTTTTTACATTCTTCGGAAAACATTACCATTTCGGTCGCAAATTCCATTTGGTCACAGATATATCTTCTGCGAAACACGTATACGTACGTTTATAATAGTCTTATTTTTATTCTGCATTTCTGCGCGAAAGGTCATTATCGAGCTAATTAGGTGAAATTTATTATGATTGCTTTATAATTTCTGCAGGCTAAGTACAGCTACATGGGTGGCGCGTGGCTCCAATCGTGATTGACGCACTCACTTGGCGAGTTCAAAAATAGAATCTTCCTACGTCGACGCGTTAAGCTCCTATCTCCTCAATGTTGAGCGGCGTTGCGGATATTTGTTGCTTCTTGGACATCACTCACCACATAAAACATTAAGCTCATCAGAAATGCGTAGTCATATTGAGGGATGAGGCTAAATTTTAATCTCGCAGTGATTAAGGTGAGAGTTTCCTTGTCACTAAATCCACAATCACAAACTGAAATACCGAGAGCTCACAAATAATTCGCCTGAGTCTTTTCTTTCTCCCTCAAAATAAGCGCCCTTAGCTGAAGAAGTTAGATAATACGGGGCTACTACAGGTGGTGACTTCCCGTTTTGGGCACAAATGATTTCCGGAACCGTATACCATGTACTATGGAGGAATAATGATGGGCTGAGGAATAGCGGGCAAGTGGGTACCGCGAAGAAGAATTCAGGTAGCTAGATAACGTTTTTGTACGTCTGAGGCTTCTCGTAGTCTTGACAGTGAGTATGGAGTGAGGATCCCTTTGGCATGGATAATAGATCCTAAGGTGTGCGTATGTTATTAAACAAAAGCTATTGCGAGGTAAAGATATTCGATGAAAATCCACATTAACTTGACCGCCTTTTAGAGCGTGACCTTTAGGGGGGGGACGGTTCGAGTTGTTGAATCGCGAGTTAAAGCTGACTTGATAGAGCGAGGAAATAGCGCTCTACGAGACGCAGAATGAAGGTGGAGGGGCAACGGTTGGATGGTCAGAACATGCACACGAATTCTGCTTCAGCACCATGCTACAGGCTTCGAGTCGTAGAGCAGCACTGTGTGATCTGGAACTCACCATCAGTTACCTTACTCATAGTAGAGCATGCTCGATCGAGGCTATCACGCGGGATGTGCCTTTGAGGTTTTAGTCTTTGCAGAGGTATGAAAGTTCACCATAAAAGATCAGGGAAATTTTTGCCCTATTGCATTGACATATGGAGATGCTGTGATTCTGGTGGTTATCCCTTGCGAGGGACAGCCTAGTAGCCGCGCATTAGACAAACGTGCCGCAGTTTCTTACAGTCTGCTTTAGTCTGAACGACCTCATTACTTCTTCTGTTTATGGATTTCTTGCCACGGCTTTTTCACTTTCTCCTGCTCTATAATTCCCTGTAGTTTTTCTTTGCGGCTCACTTCTGTTCTGCTGAAATTTCAGAGTTTCAAAAATTCCCAAAGCACCAAAATGTCAGGCTTTGGAGAAATAGTCGAAACGTCAGGCTCAATAAAGATTCCACCGTACAAAATCCTGTGTGGCACACAAACAAAAAACAGCTCTAAACATTGTTTTGTGGAAGGGAGCCTATGTATGACAAAAAGCTGAACTATTTAGAATACTCTACTTTTCAGAATACTTCGAAGCTGCTGGAACATCACCTCTACCTGCATACTATGACGTTCTCTACAACGATCAACTGATAAAGTCGTTTAGCATTCTTGCAGCGATTAAATAAAAGCGTCTTTCTGTAAAAGTGCTTAAGAAAGTGATTATCCGGTACTCTTGTTTCCATCTGTCTTTATACCAACAGCAGAATTGCCGCCATTCGAGACTAAAGGTGCTTCTAGCGCTCTTGTCGTTAGGGAAATTCGAGTGAAAAAGCCACTTACAGTACCTGAAACCATGCCTTAGGGAAGAAGGGACCCTGGATGGGGATGTGACAATTCTTGTCACCCTAGTGCTTCTCCTTTTTTGTGGGTTACTCCTAGTGTCACTTACCGGCGGTTTTTTAAATGCCCTCTATTGAATGTCCCCCGTAACACGTTGACGACTGTGTGGTATGATGTCATATCAGACTTTCACATGAAGCAGACTAGCTTCCTTTAATTTATTTCCTTTTTTCCTGTTCTCAACGGTCCATGTACATTATTGGATCCGAAAAACAATTTTTTCATTACTGATAATGAAAACGGATTAATGCCTGTTGATGAGAGAATACGAAAAAAGTTGCCGCAGTACGCTACAACGGCGATCGTCAATGGGTTAAAGACATCAACGCCGGTGCTTCCTATGAGAATTTTGATGGAATTTTTGTAGAGCGCATTTGTTCCTTAACATCCACAACATTTCGA